GGCGGACTTCACCTTGACGTTTGGTCAGGTTACGAACTCCCCCCTCTACAGAGGGCTCATTCAAAATTCTTATACTCTGTCTTGTGTGTGAATTCTTTAAAGGTGATACGAGGGAAAAAATCCCTAACATTCTTGGCGAGCTAGCCAGGAGCTCCCCGCAATCTGTTTGTCGGTGGGACTCGACAGGACACGCTGAAAGGTCGGCAATAGGCCGCCCAAAAGCCCCGGACGCTGATTGTGTCACAGGCCAGCGGGATAGGTTCAGGTTCGAGACATCGGGGACAGACTGGCGGAGCTCCGGCCCACATCTCTCACACAAGGTGAGTATGAGACTTTTCCTTTTTTTTATAAGCAAAGTTGAACAGTGAGGTTGTTTGCTCAAAACAAGGCTGAGACCCTGTTAAAGTGAAGCTGTTTTGCCCATACAATCAAGACCTGATTAAATAGTGAAAAAGAAAAAAACAGTTTAAGCCAAGACCCAGTATAATACAAAAGTGAGACATCTGGTGAGGCGTTAAATGAAAAGCAAGTGAGATTCTAGGGTGGTTAAGATAACTTACAAATAAGTAACGTGAAAAACAAAAAAGAGATTTTTCACAGGTTACAAGCCCAAGTGAGACCTTTCCTGAATCAAGATCTTAATTGCCATTTTTAATATAAAATGAGTCAAGACCTCCTCTGGAAGTGAGATTTCTAAGGGTTGAGAAACTTATAAACAAGCAACTTGAAAAAAGTGAGATTTTTCATGAGTAACGTGAGAAAAGTGAGATTTTTCACCGATTACAAGCAGAAGTGAGACCTTTCCTGAATCAAGATCTTAATTGACAAAAGCAGGTGAGACTATTTGTCAAGACCCTTTCTAAAATTTTGAGTGAGACTCATAAGCCGGCATTTATTCTGAAAAATTGTGAGACACGTGCAAAACTCCTGTCTGTCTATGTGTGACTGTCTGTCTGTGTGTATGTTTAAAGTGACTGATCCTGTGGAGGATCCTTGGCTGTACTAACAGACGGGACCCTAAGCAGATTTGCTTACAACCATTTTTTTTAACTGAGTTTGGGTTAAGTGAATCTTTTTCATCTGGGAAACAAAGACTGCAGCTTTGTTTGTCAGAAAAAAGATAACACCCACTAACTGCATAAGAAAAAAAAAACAAAAAAAACCCCGCTAAAATACCTTGTCTACTTCGCCTGTAAGCTTATTGAGTAATATAAGTTTACAGATAACTGTTCACTATTTGTTCTTTGATTCTATAATGTCCTTCAAGCGTACAGCTGACTTTTTCTGTTATCTGTGGTGTTGCCGGCTCTCAGTCTGGGAGAACAAACACACGCACGCATTGAACTCCCTCCCGTGTGATAACCACACACACGCACAAACACACACGCTCGTGAACGTCATGTTGCACTAAAGTTTTAAGAAGTTTGACACTCTAAAAAACAAGTTATCTGAATTTAGATAAAAAATAAAAAATAAATAAGAATACTGCATGATGTTAAAAAATAGAAATTGACATTGATTTTATAAGCCATCTACATTGGGTAAGATAGCTACTGTTTATAATCTTGTGCCAAAACCCAACTTAGAAAATATCTGAAATTCCCTTTAACTGACTGAATTAATTTATAAAAAATTCTGAAATGTCCCTTTAAACTGTTTAAATTCACTTCATGTCAAGAGAATACCTCTGACCTTTGAAACCAAACCACACTTAATAAAAATTAGCTACTAACGGCTTATTAAATCTATAAATTAGGTGCAAATTTAACATAATATAATTAAATCTGAGATAGCCACATTAGGAGTTGACGGCTCATTTTAAGCAGACCTAACAATGTACATTTTAGCAGACTTAGCACTGTTAAGGCATTAAATATGGATAATACACTAATAGATTGTGTTCTCGTTTCATTTACTGTAGGACAATTCAGACCGTTTAAGCTCTCATGACCCTTGAGTTTGACATGTGTGATGTAGGAAGTTCTGCCTTAGAGTCTGAGTTTAGTGTTGATGGTGTTTTTTGGCTTTCACTATGAGGTGCTGATTGAGACCCTTGTGTTGGTCAGAGTGCAGTTATGACACCGCTGGAGGTAGAGGCAGATGGATTTTAAGAGATGGAAATGGCTATCGGAGAGCTCAATCTGAGCTTTATTTGTCTATGTGTAACTTGAGATGGAGAACTTTACAATTGGATTTGTTATTTGGGTAGTTGACTTAGCTATTTAAGACTGTTTCTGTTAAGTGCCCTGAGACAACTTTTTGTTTGGTTTAGAGCTATAAATAAATAAATTAAGAATAATATCAGGATTTAATTGGATTACTTTATTTTTAAGCTAATCTTAAATTAAGAAAAAGTTGAACTGAGTGAGTTCTTGAACCAGGAGGGATGTTCTGATGACACATAATGCACAATTATTCATATAAGTTGCTGAAAACCCACATGCAAGTTGCAGTTTGACATCTTGGACTGGTTCTGAAGTGCCCAGTAGTGTATCCCATGTGCAGGTTGATGAAAAACTAGGCTGACAAGAACTTGTGACTTTATGAGACCACATCCTGTTCTGCTACCAAACAACAACAACAAAATCTAAGTTTGGAGCACATGGACTTGAACTGAAACAAAATGCTGATGTCTGTGGAACTGCACTTTTGTCCAGGAGGGGGGAACTGGACTAACATCATGATGAACTCTTGAACTCTGAACTTGCAGTATCTCCAAAGACACACTGGAGAGAACCTGAAGCGGGCTGTCACTATACGTCTGGATTTGAGTGTCGACTTTTGCATGTGATGTACGGTGGTGCGTTCACTCTGGATCCAGGATAGATGCTGCATGTTTTCTCTGACATAAATGCACCCACATAGACACACACTTTTCAAACATTACAGCAAAATTTTGATTTTGAAAAGTAGTATTGTGGTCACTTGGGACACCTGCCTAGTTCAATGACTTTTAGACAAAAAGGAGAGATTTATAATTTTACAATCTTATATCAAAAATGAATAAGATTACCCCTGAACAAATTATTGGCTTTTCCATTGGGCTCACTTTGTCTTTACAGATTAGACTAAGGACTCAGGGACAAGAATGAAAAAGTGTTGTTTGTATTCTTTTTGGTTAACAAATGTTGGTCTGCAATATGAGCTGGAAAATCTGAACTGTGGTTGATCTCACATTTCCTATAGAGCGCTAATTTGGAAAATAAATACATAAATAAATTATCATGTACAGGGGATAATTCGGTTCACACATAAACAGTATTTTGGGCAAATACAAAACGGGAATCTTATTAACCAACAACCAAAACGGGAAAACTTTACTTCGATGTTTCTGAAACAGGGCACACTGGTGTACTGTTTCAGAAAAATGGGGGAGGTATATAGTGATGTACAGATTTTATAGATTTGCCTTGCTAGAAAATTAAAAAGAGATGCTAATATACAAATTTTATCAACTTCACAACAAAACATTAAGGATGCTTTTTGAGAAAATTGAAGGATGCTTCATCACCTGTGTAAATTAGAGATTTTGATAACCAAAGAATCTCACTTTTATGTGTACAGGACAGTTCTCTTAGGGGGACGCCCCTTTTTCTGAGAAGCCTTTTCTGAGACCTTTGTAGACCTTTGTAGACCTTTGTAGACCTTTGTAGACCTTTTGTAGACCTTTTTTTTTTTACCTTTTTTAGACCCAGGAGAGCAATGAAAATGTGGTGGATCTATGTTTTTAGATATATTAGCTTGACTTGACTTTACTTGACTGGACTATCAAGAAATTAATTGAGTTTTCATGTATAGAGTGTTTTAACCACATTTTTATGATGAGCACATATTTGTTCTGCCTAAACAGATCTCCAGAGGAGCTACGGCAGAGCTGGATAACTGATTTTGATTTCCTTTTATTTGTGCTATCTCGATCAGAAAACGCAATGTTTGATGTTGTATTGTACTGATTTGAAAAAAATATATATTTTCTGCGCATGCGTTTAATAATTTTTCCCTACAGACAGGAGGAGGTAAGACAAATAAATTTATTATCTTAACTAAAAACTAACATCGCTCATGCCAAATATTTCACCACTAAAAACTTTAACTTTTTGATTCTGATTACTCATTTTCACTGCATGTGGTAATAACACATAATGTCTTTTGATTTCTATGTTCTCTTGTGAAAATAACTGTGCTTGTTCTAGGATCTAGAAGGACTTTTGAGAATCACATATCCTTTTTCTTGGTTCAGGTTTGTAAACATGAAAGTACAAATGAAATGTGATTTATGTTGTTCTATAAAGCTATTACAGTGTAGAAGTAATAAGGAAATACTTATTTTGACAAACCCCTTTAGTGGAAGAGACAGAAAATACAGTTACATGCCTTAGAGGGCCGCATTTGGACTAAAACATAGAACATCATATGACCTACAAAAAATAGACAGGAAAAATTAGAAAAGATCTGAAGATAGACCCCCTAGACAACGATGCAGGAGATTTTTGTAGATTTTTGTGTTACAGGTGGCGGGTGAAAGGAAGACAGTCTCTGGGTGCAGCAACTGCTCTCACCTGAGAGAAGAAACGAAGGAATACAGAGCACCTTTGTGTCAGGCTTCATTCACAGGTGACAAAACCAAAGGAGAGAGATGAACCTGGGAGGCCCCACACACTCGGTGCTGCTGAATGTCATCACAAGAGGAAGGGACCGAGGTGGACTGGACCTTATCAGGTGGTTGAGAGAACCTCACACGCCAGCAGAGAAGCCAAACCCGTTGGGATCGATCTGGTTGATGAAAGCCCCCACTTTGTCAGGACAAGTGGCCTGACACACATTCTTCCTGAAAATCCTGAACTGAACTTATACCCCCAAAGAAAAACGACAAGATGGACACGCTGACTTAGGCCTCCTCAGTGCACACACGTCCCTAGAAAGTTTAAAACATACTGATAACAGAGACTCTTACACACATGAAGAGAACTCCGCGGTCCTATAATTACATCACCGCTGAGCAACAAAGGACCCCTCACGAGGGCCTCCCAACTCTTCAGAGCACCAAAACGCAGAGGGAAAGGAAAATTGGTGTTGTTGTTTTTTTATTTTGGTAATTTCAGGAGAACAAAGTATAATAGTTTTATTACCAGAACTAGTAGTTAAAATAGTCACAATGCTTTACACTCAGACCTAAAAACCTGTTCTATATTTATTATCTTAGATTGGTTTAAAGTGATGATTCAGTTATCTTTGCAGTTCATAAAAAAAAAAAAAAAAAAATTACTGCTCGCTCATAAAGAGCCCACATAATTCTAGTTTTGCTTGGTCTTTGTGTGATTTTT